CTGGTTTAATATGTGGTTTAAAGACTAATATTTGCCACATACTCTTCAAAATTTATTAGTTTTATTAATATTTTATATCTGCCATTCTCCACTTCCAAGAATGTTGCTTTTCCTTCTACTTTTATACATCAAACTTCATCATCGTTCAGACTTTTTTTGGCCTATTTTCTATTTATGAATGAAAAAGAAAAGTTCATAGCATTAAACAGTTAAGACAAGACGGTCCATTTGTCATCCTACTGTTCAATATTACCAGGAAGCATTCTGATGCAGGCAATTTATTACTAAAACATACAGGGTGTCCCAAAAAAAACACGAGGGAGGCCCCCCTCAAAAATAACATTTGTGATCGAGTTCAACCCAAAAAAGTTTTAGATCAAAATTGGAATGAATCTCAAAGAATCAAAATGCTAGCTACCTCATATTTGATCTTCACTTTGAGTTTTAATGTTAAATCAAGGTCAACTTGAATATAGGTATTATTATTTTTTTTTTTATTGCAGTAAGCGATAGAGAGCCAAACCTGTATACCCGAATAAGATGTTAGAACATTTTTCTGGTATATCCTTGGAGGTTATTTAGAGGTGAAGTTCTTTCTGAGTAACTCGACAAGAATGATTTCGAGAAGAAAATGTGCAAGGCTAAATCAAGGTCAACTCATATATTGAACACCCTATTTTGTGTCAGCAATTGAGAATTTTAGGTCTCCGAATATATTCTGAATAACTCAATAGGATCGAATTGTGGAACAACATTCATATTTAACCTTGAGCTGCAAGGACATACCAGAAAAATTTTCTGACCCCATATTCGGACGTAAAATTTGGCACTGTATCAATTGCCAACATAAAAAATAGAGTATTCCATTTAATATTTTCAAGTTGATTTTGATTTGACCATGAAACTTAAAGTCAAGATCTACGTCACGAAATACGACTCAGTTCTGAAAAGTTATTGAGGAGTTCGGGTCTTTTTGGAACATACTGTATAGTGAAAGTAATGAAAAATTCCTTGCTATTTTATATTAGATATTTAATAAGTCATTAAATGATAACATTTGGTAATGTAATAATGTAATAAATATTACTGCTACTAGTCATCCCTGGAATCAGTATACATATTACCCGAATTATGGACAATATTAGGATAATTAATGTAGTCAATTAAGAATGGAAAAGGAATATTTAGTATTTCGTTGTCGATCAAACATTCCAAAGCAAGTACCTACTGCAATTCGAACATTTTCAAATTTCAAATAATGAAAAACTAACTTAAGTACATTATTATAGTAACAGCTATAACTCTCATTTACAACTTTTTAAATACTCAGTTTAATTTTAACATTATAAACTATTAGAACGTTTTATTATCTTCTTATTATTTATATCTTGCATAAAAACTTCAAGTACTTTTTGTTATGATTAGTACTTAATTTCTGTTCAAATCCAATATTTTTTTTATGACAAACGTGATACAGATTCTAATATATGTAGATTCGAAATTAGAATTAACATATATATATTTTTTATTTTTCATACTTTGATAGAACATTCCAGTACTTAATATAATTATGTACTTTATTTATACAACTTTTCTTTTTCCAATATCGCTATATAGTATAAGAGCTTTTATCTTGATTAACTGTGTATATTATAATTATAATATATATTAATATAATATCAAATTTTAAAATACCAACTTAATAATTCCTATAACAGTGGCAATGATTTACAAACCAACTTAAAATTTTTGCCAATTGGATATGGTCACTTTCAATCTGTTGGTACACATATTAAATATAATTGTACACCCTTTTGTGCACAGTTAATATAAATCTTCGTATTTAAATTTTCTAATGGATTAATCGTTTAGTTAACAAAGTAAATTAGTGGTATTTTGTGCTTCATGATGATAGTGAAGTAAAAATTTAAAGTAGTGTATTTGATTAAGTATTAAAAAAGGTCGATGTATTTCTCTTATCGATGTGATGGATTGTATACTCATTATACATAGAGAACCTCGTAAATATGTGTGGCTTTAATTCATAATAGTTATTTATCCTCGTTATTTTATATTTGTTTACTGTTAGCAAATGAACAATAATCTCTGTAATAAATGTTAGAAATAGACAGAATTTTTTTGTATTAAATATCCTTTCCAATGCTCCTTATACTCTCGAATTTACACATTTCGAAAATTTGTTACTGCACACCATTCTCGAAATTATCACCTCACCAACCAATTTGAAATTTTCATTTTTATAAAGTAAAAATATATCAAGAAAATAATAAAGATAAATCAAGCTGTTAACTATAGATCCTTTGGGTGAAAGTAATGGGACTTAAGACAGACATATTTTCTTTTTAAGGGGTAGGGTGTACATTTTAAAAAAAGATGATGGCTCCTAAATAAGTTGCAATATTCCTTGACCCCACCCTCCAAACTTTCCAACTTCTTATGTACGCCTATGGTTGAAGGATATTATTTTTTAGTTCAGGTATATTTCTTTGTATTGTTTCTCACTTTTGCAAAATTTTTGCTTAAAACTTGGTCACAGTATAATACAAATCAGTAGACATAGAACCATGGTTGTTGACAATTTTTTGCACACATTACCAATCCACTTCCTTACAACATGGCAGTGTTCTGTTGTTTGTGAATTTACTGTGGTCCACAATACTGAGAATAATCTACTCCTTTTCAATATGAATGACTTGCTCAAGGTCACCCCCCCCCAAAAAAAAAAATTAAATTAAATATAAGTAAATTTTAACCCACTTTCCCTAGGGACACAAGATGTATAACTAGAAATGAAGAATTAAAAGCCACATACCCTTGGGGCGATACGATGTACCTAATTAGATTTTTAAAACAAAAAAAAGTCGTTTGAAATAGAAATTTGTAGGAGCCGTAATTGGCTTAAAAAAAAAATTATTACTGGTAAAATAAAAAAACACTATTAATATAAACACGTTATTTTAAAATCAGTTCTCTAGAGGGACGCAAGGTTCAAAAAAGCTGACATGATAAATAAATTTAAAAAACTTATAATAAAGAATAACGTGCAATCTTCATGCTACGATTAAGATATCATAGTATACGATTAAATAACAACTTTTCTAGCTTTTATTGTAGCAAATTCCTCGATAATATCTGTAGTCTTGTTCATGACGGGAAGGTCTTAAAAAAAAATCTTCAAAAAAGTAGTTTTCATAAAAATGTTGTTAACATGGTAGGGGCCCCTAGTTGGTGGGGGCCTGTAGACTGCAGCCTACACCAGCCTATAGGTAAATCAGGCACTGACCGTCGTTCTTGAGACGAAAATTCGAAATATTTGGAATTATTGAATTTTCGTGGCTGAAAACATACATAGGTATTGTATACTCGAAACCGAGAGAGTTGCACTAAACCAAATTTGGAGAGGACATAGCTAAATACAATGCGAAACATCGCCTTAATGTTAAAAATGTTGTCACCGCCGTTCTTGGGGGTGAAAATTCGAAATATTTGGAATTATTGAATTTTCGTGGCTGAAAACATACATATAGGTATTGTATTCTCAAAACCGAGAGAGCTGCACTAAACCAAATTTGGAGAGGACATAGCTAATACAATACGAAACATCGTCTTAATGTTACAAATGTTGTCACCGTCGACATGGACAACACTTACCTCCCTAGGGAAAAAAGCGATTTCCAGTTATAAATGCATATAAATAGAAATATTTGATGAATGAATTTTATTAATTATTAGTATGAATGAATATTTATAGTAATTTACACAGTTATTACATTTTGTAACATTTATAGAATCTGGATAATAATTCCCCTCGCGTTTACTAATTGTCACATATTTCTCAAAATGATTTAACCTCTCCATTTCAGTCACCGAGGCTCAATATTATCTGACTGATCCATTAAAACAGCATGATGCGACGTACTACTAGAACCTGAAGTTGGTGTCATAGTAAAGAATCCTGTTGGCTATTTCATTTTTGTTACTTCAACTGTCAGCAACATAACTTTCTGCCATTATGGCTGATTCTTACCCACCATTCTCTTCTAATACATCAACGCCTGTATTAGTCAGTAACGTTGCCGATGTTCTTCGGAATGAATGGCCTGTATATGCTTCAGGATGTTCTAGTTTCAAAAACTACTTCCTTTATTGTGTACATAACTATTATAAAAAAGTATGTTCTTACTGATTTTATTAGACTATGGCTTAGTTTACGATAGATTGTAACCTCCTTAGATGTGTGATATTGACCCACTTTGATTTACTATTGTTTAAAATTCATATCTGATGAACTGAGTTTGGCAAAGATGCCCTTAGATCGTACCAATTCTGATATCTTTATGCATAATACAAAATCCAAATTATCATTGGAATCTGTTTTTAAACTAATGACAGAATGTAAAAGTGCAAAATTTCAACTGCATACCCTAAGAGTTAACGTTATTAGCAAAAATATATTTTTGAAATTGTAATTTTGGCACCCTGTACCTAGAAAAAGAAGTATTTAAATTAAATATGGAAATCCCATTGTTTCTGCACGAAAAATGTGTGGTTAACGACATAACCTATTTTTTAAACGCCTAGTATATTATGTATGATACAAAGTTGATTTAAAAACTTTTCAAAATAATGTATGTTCTAACAAATTGTAGGAGTAATCATCATCTCTACAATAAGTGGTTTAGGGACGATGCAATAAAAGGGTTAATACAAATAGATGTTCTTAAACAATACTTATTATAACCTTCTTGTAAATTTTAACACGGTTTTTCGATAGGTGCATCGTAAGTTCCTCCATTTTGAACACGAACCTGATTAGCCCAGTTATTTAATGGGTGACCTGCAAACTAATTAGACAGAAGTGACACAGACTGTATGCTGAAAATTTAAGGTAAGTAACAATTTTGAACTTTAAAAAATACGTTGAACCTCAATAATTTTCCATTTTCGTAGGACAGAAGGGCGAAAATAATACCACACTATCATTTCAAATTACTTTATTTGAAAAATATCTGATCGAATTTTCACAATAAAACCTCGTCTCAAGAACAATTTCCTTGCAAAAATCCAAACACTTGTAGTACGTATACGCGCATAATAAACCTAAAAACTATAAATTACTTACAAACTTAAAGTTGAAAATGCTGACCGCTATTAAAAAAATATATCAGTCATTCCTCTTTATACAAATAAAAAATAGAATTGTTAAATATAATGATCAAATCGTGTGTTTTATGAAATACAAAAAATGCTTAAGGGGAAATGAATTGGGCTGTTATTAATTTACATTCTAAAGTAACCCGTCGATATCAAAACCGCCATCACCAGAATATAAGAATTCGTATACAGACGCCGCCAATTCGTCTATTTCCTTGGTTGATGTCAACTTCATGTCCTTTCCTTGTCGTCTAATTTCCAAGTCGTCGTCCTCCAGTTCCTCTTCGTCGACGTTGCCGTACTTTTGCCTCAAATCCTTCATTATGCACGCTTCCAATTTCTTGTGCTTGTAACACTTGAAGAAGAACATTGGCCTCATCAGCTCCCGGGATAGGATCAGTTTGTCCTTTTTCACCTCTGGTACACATTGCTAGAAGAAAAATAATCATGATATCGACAGTTTTTACTAATACTTGGTTTATGCATCAAGCTCTGTCCTTTATTGTCTCCGTATACATACGGAGATACATACACGTGTTACTTTACTATCAGGACCGGTTCCCATCATCAAAATAGTCCGTCTAGTAATATTTTATTCTGAAAATGATTCCTAAAGACTAAGACCTCTTTTATGCACGCGTTTTTCTCCTCTCAACGGGATATTGAGAAAAACGCGGCATATTTCTGCTCCATTTTATGCACGCGTATTCTATCAGTTGTCGCCAGTTTCATGCCACACAGTAGTCAGTGAAGTACATGAAAATGGATCCGTGTATATTGTATTTGTGCTATAAAAAAATATGTAATAGAAAACGTAAGAGGCGATGGGCAGTACATCCAATTAATAGAAATAGAATTCAATTGCGTCCATTGCATCCATGTCCCGCTTGATCAATAGCTAAACTAAAACTAAAACAAACTGTGCTAAAACTATTCTTGACAGACAGAGCCACTGGACTTGCGACAAAGAGCGCTTTGCATAAAAACGCCGATATACTGTCGTGCTTTTTCGGAACGCGTGTCGCCAAGCGTTCTGTAAAGCCATCGCGACAGAATTGAAAACGCGAGAGCAAATAAACGAGCGTAAAATGCATAAACGTAGTAACTCTATTCAGGGTATCTTGAAACGCGGCGTTTTTGTCAACTCCGCGTTGAGAGGAGAAAAACGCGTGCATAAAAGAGGTCTAAGACTCTGGAAAAAAATTTGAAATGAAATACAGTTTTTAGTCTTTAAACTTGGGACATACCACTTTCCTTATAATAGCTACTGTCATGTAATATTCGAGCAAAAATTAACCAGTGGCGTTGAAATTAGGAAAATTCTGAGTGGTTTCAACTGCCAAAAAAAAACATTGACGTGAAAAAGGATCTCTCACAGACCACAGATAGAATCGACTGTTTTCAATTAAATTTTCAAATAGAAATAATATTTTCAATTAAAATTTTTGTGCTTATCTGCTTGTTTTTTTAAAACACACATTCACGGTTAAAAGTTCAGTCACTACAAAGTGAGCATGAGTAAAAATCGAAATGACTTTAATAATAATGGCTTCAGCAGTTTCATAATTACATATCTCTAGAAATCAGAACAAGATAATTGAATTTTATCTGTATAATCCACTACTCGACTAATATTTAACATTGTCGTAATCTTTAGGTTTTTACTCTTGAATTGTTTGTGAAAAAAGTAAAAATTAACACAATTGTTTATTGAAGATTCTCTTTGATGTCAAATAACTTTTTAGTAATATTTATAACACGGAAACTTCGGAAATATTATAATTCTGAATATGAAGCTGCTGTAAGAAATAGGTATGAGTGAAAGCAATAAAGGTACGGAGTAAGTCCATTGAGTGAAACTCAATATTGAGCATTTTGATAATTTTACTCATTCGTGATAATAGTTGAACTAAAACTACTGAGTATATTTCAATCAAATAGGTGCCCATTAAACAAATTCTTCAAATAAATCTGTATTTAGTACATAAATCGATGTAAATGTACGCATTATTAGTGACCCCACCCCATTCAATGGTTGTCGTGCGTTGTCTTTGTCTATTCCCATCGTCCCTTTTAGGTCATCTCGTAGCATGGTGTATGGCGTATAGCGCTGGACAAGTGTCCGTTTATCCGATTATTTTGGTGGCAATTGTCTTTAAATGAAGTAGTTTTTACAATAATTAAAAACTATAATATATTGAGACTGCAGGTTTTGGTATAGGTACAATTTTTAGAGAATTAGCATTAGCATCCATTGCTGACGACTGAAAACCTTCATGTTCAACGAAATCGAAGATAGCATAAAAAATTTTGTGAAACTAGACCCTTATTTTCTTTTGTTCTGATATGAACTTATATTTTGCTGGATAAAGCCAGCAAATAAAAAAAATTTATCTACCAAGTAAAATAATGTATGTCGGCTTAACGTCTATTTTTCTTTTAGGCATAGTTTAACAAATTTTTAATATTTCATAAAAATTCACTATTAGAATGCAATACATTTGTATTTGGCAAATCGATAATAATTAAAAAAAATATTATATTTATAGTTTCCAAACTGTGATTTATTTAATTAATGCATTGTCACCTTAAAATAGAATGATGTTGATTAATATAAAGCCAATAATGGTTTTTAGTCCAGGCGATAGAGCAAGTCATATATTTTGTTGTACAGAAAAATCCCAAATATTATGTAGAATAAGAATCCGAGTTTGCCTATTCCAAAAAACCATTGCTAAATTCAGAGAAACAACAAACATACAAAAAGAACGAAAAATGACCCGTTTTTTGACATATTTTTTACTGTAACGTTGAAAGTAAGCGCTAAATAAAAAAAAGTAATTTTTAATTTTTTGTTTATCTGGCGATTTTCTATAACTGCTATTCATAAAAGTTGATTTTGTATTAACAATGGGCGGTAAATAGTAGAAAATTGTATGTATATTTGGAGCAATTTTTAAAATAAGTAAATATTTATAAATATTGATGAAACTGTGAAAAAATATGTCAATTCTACCCTAAAAATTTTGCAACGATCGATACCTTGATTTTCAGTTGATAGGATTGTTAATTAAGAAAATTGAAGAAGTTTGTCGCATATAAATACCGTGGGTTTAAATTAAGATTTAGAAAGGGCACACAATTTTTTAGAGATACTTGTTGTCATAATAAAACATGATCAATACTAAAAATATATATTTTTACACTTTCATAACCATTTAGAATTTTTTAAAATTTTTCAACATTTAACTCTATTACATCGAAAATTCCCTGGGCAATAAATAATTGTTTAAAAAATGTTGAAAAATTAAAAAAAATCTAAATGGTTATAAAAATGTAAAAATAAGTATTTTTAGTATTGATCATTCTTTATTATGACAACAAGTGTCTCTAAAAAATTGTGTGCCCGTTCTAAACCTTTATTTAAACCCAGGGTATGCGATAAGCTTTTTGAATTTTCTTATTTAACAATCAATAACAATATTAACAATCAATATAATTAATTAATCAAAAACCACGCTGTAGATCGTTGCAAAATTTTTAGGGTAGAATTGACATATATTTTGCTATTTGTTCACTAAGTTTCATCAATATTTATAAATATTTACTTATTTTAAAAATTGCATACATATGATTTTCTACTATTTTTCGCCCATTGCTAATGCAAAATTCAAATTTTTTGATTGGCAGTTGTTGTAACTTTATAGAAAATCGTCAAATAAACAAAAAATAGAATGACTTTTTTATTTAGGGCTTACTTTCAATGTTACAGGGAAAAATATGTCGAAAAACGGGTAATTTTTCGTTCTTTTTGTATGTTTGTTGTTCCCCTGAATTTAGCAATGGTTTTTTGGAATAGACAAACTCGGATTCTTATTCTACATAATATTTGGGATTTTTCTGTACCTACAACAAAATAGATGACTTCAAATACAAACGCCTCGAATGCTCTACCGCGTGGTAGTTTTGTTTGAGCCCTTTTAAGGGCATATAACTTCCTAAGGGTGCGTTTTAGGGCACATGTTAATAGGAACTTTTTGGCTTATTTTAATGAGTTATAAACGCAGCAGAAGTTTGGAACTCTATTTTAGAAACACCCTGTATTGGTTATGATGCCAAATAATAATTTCGCAACTTACTTCACAAAGAAACATTGACGTGATGATTAATAAAATTAAATTTTAATTGAACCGTTAAGGTAACATACAGAATATGAATTCTGGTTATTATTTTTAGTGGTAGGGTTAAAATTATTAGTTTAACTGGCTGGTTAACTTTAACTGTAAAATACAGAATAGGCATGACAGTTAGTTAACACTCTTCGCGTCAAATGTGCACCCGAGTTAAGAATCCTCGTTAAGATTCGCATTACATTACTTGTTATATTCGCATGAAATTCTGCCGTGCTATGGCAAAACCGTGTAATTGCTAAATAAACAACTACATAACTATCCGTAAATTGCTTTTATACCAGTGTACGGTAGAAGATATGTAGACCGATGTCCTGAGAATCTCCTACTAAAGTTTTATTTAGTTTTTCCTAAAGGCGGTTTTCCACTAAACGGACAAAACAAAAACAAAACACAAACTTGTGTCGAATAAAACAGAACTGTAACTTTTCGCAAACTTTTTGAAGACTGGCGTGTTTTGCGACAGTTGGAGTTTTGTTTTTCGGGTCCCGCTTGAAAGCGGTCACATCAAAAGGTTTCGACGTGTTTTGAAACTCGAGTCTGTTTAGTGAAAACGGTCGTGTATTACAGGCATTACAGTAGGATCACCCTCAAAAACTGACGTTAAGAATATTCCATGATAAAAAGGTGTGGATCGTGTTGGTGAATCAGATTATGGTTCGTGCCGCAAAAAAAAGTCAGCGTTAATTTTTTATAAGCAAAAAACAAGTGAAAAAACAGGTTTTATTAATTTTTAATATAGAACTTCTGCATTTAAAACAATGTAATTTCTACAAGATATCGGCGCTAAAAAGCCCTTTAATTTGAATGGTCGCACGTCAAAATCGAATAAATAGTTATTGAGTTATTGCAAAAAAAACACTAAAATAAGCCATTTGTTAATTATTTAATAGCTTTAACAATTTGCAAAATATCAATTTCTACCATTGTGTAAACTAAGCGTTTCGAAGGGATAAAATTACGGTTCAAATTTGGAAGAAAAATATTGAAAACTTTTTATGTAATAGCAATTGTTATTAAAAATGGGCTTTTTTTTTAAATAATTTCTATCGATTGGGGGTGTCGCGCAGCATTCAGCAAGGGCTCGTTCTTTTCGTGAAGTGTTCTAGTTTCATGCAGACCCGTTTACCTGATCATTTTTTCAATTTAAATTGTTTAAATATCGCTCCAAACTAATTGCTATAAATGGCTTAATTAATAAATGGAATAGCTCCCGTTGTAATCGCGATCGTTATTGTTT